GGGAAGAAAACCAAATAATAAACAAAGTCATGTAAAGAGAAACAATCTGTGATGAACATGCTGAGAAGAAAAAAGTAATGAGACATCAACAAAACATGTTTTTTTCATATTTAAGCTTCCTATTTATCCTGTATATGTCCATAGATTTGAAAAACAAATAAAATGCATTTGCTATGGGGACACAGCTTCGATAAATATAAGAACTGGCTAGCTATATAGAGATGGAAAAGTTTATTCCAACCTAATGGTCCCTTTAAGGGGGAAATGAAGAAAACTGTGGAGTAACAAGTTTGGTGATGGGCACACTGACAAATAACAGCATACTGCAAATGTACTTTAGTCATCTTAGGTAAATCGATAATGGCTATGGATAATATGCCACTGGGTTAATGATGAAGATAAAGAAAAAGAATAATCATACGAGTGAGATGGGAATATGTGATACATCATTTACCAAGGTATTAGAGCACAAGATTGAAGATTTAGCAAATATATTATTTCATATTCCCCCAAAATTATCTTTTAAAATTTGTAGCATTAAAAACATTGAAAACAGGGGCGCCTGGGTGGCTCAGATGGTTAAGCGACTGCTTTCAGCTCAGGTCATGATCCCAGGGTCCTGGGATCGAGCCCCACATCGGGCTCCTGGCTCGGCGGGGAGCCTGCTTCTCCCTCTCCCCTGCTCATGCTCTCTCTCTCTCTGTATCTCTGTGTCTCAAATGAATAAATAAAATCTTAAAAAAAATAAGAAAACAGAAAACTGAATACAGTGATACATGTACTCCCTCTTAACTTTAGAAAGGTACACTAAAAGAAAAAAAATATGAAAAAGATATATCAAGGACTCTCTAGCCAACAGCAATAAGCAGAAATATATCTTAAAAAGGTTGATAGTCTTGGAAACATATAATGATAATAATATAATACAGATAATATTTGAAATGAAGGTGAATGGCAGCTAAAGAAGCAAAGTGGCTGCATAAGAATAATAGAAATATGGAATATTTATCTATATAGAATATATATCCTTGATGTGAAAATGTGTGTAAGTGTATGTCTGTGTATATTGTATGCATATTTGTATATGTATATATACACATGTATATTTGTGTATGTATATATATGTGTGTGTGTGTGTGCATGTGTGTATTAGAACAAATTGTAGCCTTGATAAAATAATAAATTCATGTCAATTTGAAAGAATTCAACTAGCATCCCATGATTGGAGTTATATACAGAGAGACTGCAACAAAATAGCAAGATGTTAAACAGCAATACAACTCTCCAGCGATTTAATGGGATGGTTTGCTTATCCAAAGGAGGGTTTCAGCAGATGCTGAGTGACCAAATGGAAAGACTATCATAGAGTGACCTCTGACAGTATGTGGATGGCTGAACTAAATATTTCCAGTTCCTTTTTATTCCTAAAAGACTCTCATATTCAATCCACTTCTTGTGGGATCTCCTTTCAGCCAACCTTCGTCCCACTGATCATATAAGTCTCTAAGAATTTTGTTTTCCAATTTGTTCAACTGATTATTTCAATATTTACCATATCTAGATACTCATGACTTCTCAGTGTCAACATTCATGACTTTCCTCTCCCTCTTTGCTTAATAAATGGCATTTATTTTTCCATCCTTCTTTTGTTGGCTAGTTAACATTGCTAATCAAATGAAGTTGCAGTTGATGCTACCAATATTTACTTGGTACTCTTGCGATTAAAACGAATACTTTATTATTACATTAATTTTCAATTTTCAAATATAGAACTAACTTACTTAGGATGAATACTTGGCCCAAAAAAAGAATATCACCTTAGCAGAATGCCTAGATTCAACAGATCTGCTAGATTAGCCCATTTATATTGAACCACAGAGCTATTATGCCAACCAACAACCACCACCACCAACAACAAAAACACCACCAACAACAACCAAAACACGTAATTGGGTTATACTGATCTTGAGAGAATAGAGTTTCACAACCTCTTTCTTCAATTCATTCCTACACTTACTAACACTCATAGACTGGAAATTGTGGTGTATATCTGTCCTAAGCCTTTCACCCTATAGTATAAACTAATTTCCTTTTTCTTGATTCTCTGCACCTGGGTATCCAATAGCTGTGTGATTTTATTTTCCACAAAATAAAAAGCAGAATAAGGTCATATCAACCACACAGATCATGTATAATACTAGTCATAATGATGGACTTCAAGAAGCATCATAAAACCAGTTGGCAGCTACCCTTGCTGTGCTAAAAACAAAATATTTTGATAACAGTAATGTTCCCAGTTTGCTGAAATAAAAGATGTTAACAGCCTCATATTTCCATGGACTGGATGGAAACAGTTATAATGAAAGAGAAATACATTTTGTATAAATCAATAATACTCCCCAAACAATTTATACATCATTTACTACTTCTTATGATAGTATGGCGAATGGTTTCTGGTATTCACTGTAGAGATAGATGCAATCATAATGCACCAGTGAAAACATAAAATTGATTTCGTTACTGCTCTAATGTAAGAGGATTACAAATTATTTCACACTTTTCAAATTCATACAACTTAATCTGGTGTGTGGTATTCAGAACTGCTAAACTCAGCAACTATTTAATTCAGAATTTCTCTGAGCAATTATGAATTACTGCATTGAAATGGAGATTATACAACCTTACAAAGATTATCTTGACACAATAATTACTTCATCTTTCCATTTATTTCACTTACATACAAATAGCTTACATGGCTAAAGAATAACCTTCTATTTTTTGATTATTAAAAAGTAACATGATTAAAAAAAAGAAAGATATCCTCAAAATTAAAGAAATAAACACCAAAACTCTTATGGAAATAAACTCCTTTTCATTATCCCCAGGAATATGTTGACATTTACATTTTGGCCAGCTGAGGTTCAAATTAGATAGCTCCATAGGTGACAGAAACCCTGAGGCCTGCATGGATCCTGAGGACAAAGGTGATTGTTTCAATTATTTCCCTTCAATTGGCTTATCCAGCCTTGACCTCAGCATGAGGCAAGGTATTGGGAGCCCAATGCATGCAGGTATGTAATTATGCATTTAAGTTCATCTTCTTAATTAATTTAAATATGCTTGAGAAACTTATAGGGCTTGAATCTGAAAATTTCCATGGCCTGGTCACTGGAGAGAATCAAGGCTCCTGAAGTGAGAGAGTTGATCACAACTTTCATGAGCTTTAGAAAGAAGCTCTTCGGTAGAGATAATCAAATGCTTGAAATTTCAAATCTTGGAGAAAATTATACTCTTTATCTCTTTCACAGTGATTTTTGTTTGTTTTGTTTTGTTAAGAAAAATGAGGTTGAAAAAGTTGCTGTCAGCAACTGCTAATTTGGCTGATAGTCAAAAACATATAAAAGAATCTTCAGCCCCTAATATGTGGTAAATGAATCATTAATGAAGCCCAGACATTAGTAAGGGAAGGTAGGAACAGAGCTCAGAACTAAAAGACTAGGAGTGGAATTAATGTAATCTGTGCCAAGACATTATCAATGGAGGGGGGGAGGAGCACTGAGCCGACTCTTAGGACAAAAGAATGGTTCAGATGTATTACTAGGGTGTCTCTTAAAGCAATAATTTGCCTACTAGCGCCCAACTCCACCTCTAGCCACCCACACACAGACTCACAAACCTTGATCAGTGACCCTGAACACATATCCAAGGCTAAGGATATAGTTATTTTCTCTAATCCTGGAACATAATGAGTTCTGCTCAACTTTTCTTTGTCTTTCATTTCTTTTGTGATGAATACCCTTCAAAATTTGCACTGTATCAGAGAAACGGAGTCCTTGCTCAGCTCATTTTTCCTCCATGAGCATATCCTCTTCTATCATGATTTGCACAGTTATAGTTTTTCCTCTCAGGAAGGTAGGCCACTGGCTCTCCCAGGGTCCTTCTGCACACAACCCAAGTGCCCTCCATAATGGACAGATGCTGGGCTCATTTTCCTTTTGAGATTCCTTGTCAAGTTAGAATTGCATGCTAGTGAATTCAGAAAGAAACTACCCTTGCTAAATCAATACACAGCAAAGTTAAAAAAAAAAAATGCAGCCCAATATACAAAGATCAGTGAAGTTAAACAGCCAGCTTCACACTTGCCCCTGAGGATGCAGAGTTCTAAAGAATAATAGCACTATGGTCAGCAAGTGTAAGACACCTGCCTGAATGTGAAGATGTCTGAGGTGTTTAAGCAAAGGCAGAAAGTTTTAAAGGCAGAGGAGAGAAATTTAAGAATTTAGCCAGGAAATATGAAGTGAGCTAAACGAAACTTTGCTGATGCAGCTAATTTTTTTCCAGATAAGTCAGACTCATAGCTTTATTGTACACATTCAATAAATTAAAGCAAAATTCATCAATGAGCCATATAATTATTTTGCTATTAAATTATCACTTTTCATGAAAGAGTGATTTAATTTCTGATGTATCTTATATTTACCATGTCAGTGCTCCATATGGTGACAATTATAGACATTGGTCCATGTGGCCCACGAGAAAGTCCAGGGTTTCGATTTGATCATGCAGTATGTTACACAGAAAGCATACAGAGGGAGGTAGATACTCTATGTAAAGTATTTTAAAGGTACCCATGATATCTAATATTAATTTTTACATAAAATATCATCTCTAAAAATATAGACTTGTTTTCTAGATTACCAGGTTTAGCAAGCAATAGTTCATACATATACATTAAATTTTTCTAACTTGCTAATGAATCAGTATCTGGTACTATATCATGATCTCAATTTCCCACACTTAAAGGACAGGTAGTAATATCATATGTGTGTCATGGATACATATTGAATGCAGTCTTAAAATAATATATGACAGTCTTTGGAATTTCAAGACACAACCTTGTAAAGCTTAAGATAAATGAGTTTCATTTAAAAAATAGAAATAACAGTGCTGTATCATCTTTGAACCAAAAGCAGTAGATAAAAAGTCATGGTGGTACTTACCACAGTGAAATTCATCACTTTCAATATCCATATTGTCATGGCTAAGTTAACTATCATGGTAACCAACAGCAGAAGGACAAAGAAGTATAAGCACCTCTTTCGCCATCCATAAATCCCCACTGGGTAAAGTTGTGCATTCTCAGCCCTTGGCAGGTTGTTCTGTTGTGTTGCTAGTATATATTGTTCTCGCGTCATCTGAAAAAAAAAAAAAGAAAGAAAAGAAAAGAAAGAAGCATTCAAAACTAAAACTGATGATTTTTTTTAAAATCAAAAGACACAATACACCTACGAATAATGCATAATGAGTGTTCAAAGAATTATTCCTGTATAATTAAAATTAAATTAAAATTGATTAAAATCTCACAAAGCCCCTCACATCACATCATCAGTGCTGCTTTTTAGAGCTGTTTAACTAACTATAATATTTTTAGGATGTATATTATTTTCAGTCCGATTTGCCCAATATAACAGTAGCTTTTTTTTATGGAGACTTGGAAGATGCTCATCTCTACTCCCAGGTATCTATAACCTAAAATTCTATGCACATCCCAGCTACTCTTGGAATACATGTCACCTGTTCTTTAGGGTGGACAGAGACCAAATGTATCACAAGGCATTTCTGTACCTTTATCTAAATATACAGGGTATCAGTGTTCAGGGTACATGTTTTAATAAAATGTAAGTTCATTTGAAAGAACCTATGGGAAGAAAAGATAATTTTCTTGAGAATTATATAGATATAGCTATTTAATTAATACTTTTACTTAGAACTTTGTTGGTTATTTATTTTAGTTGTATTTCAATGAGTTCTCAAAATAAATTTGACCTCTAAAAAAAGAAGACATTATACCGAACTATTCTGTTATATAATATTACATAACATATTGATATACACAGAAGTCAGTTTTGGAAAAGAGGTGGTGGTATTCCTTGGTGTTATATATATATATTAATTTAGTTTCTAAGTTAATTCTTTGAAAAAGCAAATACATTATTTTCTGCCAGATTACAACCAAGAAGAACGGTTAAGTAAAGGATATGTACTAGGTATATAATTTTTAGAATAACATTATCTGAAGAATAAAAATTTTAATTTTTATAAAATATAATTTTCTCCAAGGCAATGTTTTTTTAGTTTCGTTTTTTCTCTTTAGGTTTCATCAGATTTCTCTTATTGTTCATGTCAATTAAACAATATAACAAGAGAAATCATGCTGAGTAAATGTACCAAAATAAAAGCAACATCAATGAAGTATTAAAATTACCTGTCAAGTAATATAAAATAACAGGCATATCTCATTGCATTGTGCTTTACAGGTGCTGCATTATCGACAAATTGAACATCTGTGGCAACTCTGAGTCAAGCAAGTCTATCGGTGCCATTTTTCCAATAGCATTTGTTCATTTTGGTATCTCTGTGTCACATTTTAGTAAGTCTCACAATATTTCAAACTTTTTCCATTATTATTGTATTTGTCATGGTTATCTGTGATCAGTGATCTTTGATGTTACTAATAATTATTTTGGGGCACCATGAACCACACTCATATAAGATGATGGCTTTATTGATAATTATGTGCATTTTGACAGTTCCACTCAGTAACCCTCTCTCTCCTTCTTTTCAGGCCTGCCTTTTACCTGAGACAAAACTATATTAAAATTAGGCCAATTAAAAACCCTGGGGCCTTGCTGGGATGAGCATCAGGTATTGTATGAAATTGTTAAATTACTGTATTTATTATACACCTGAAACTAATGTTACACTCTATGTTAACAGGAACTTAAATAAAAAACTTAACAAAGGAAAAACACTACAATGGCCACTAAGTATTCAAGTGAAAGGAAGAGTTGCATGTTTTACTTTAAATCAAAAGCTAGAAATGTCTAATTTTGGTGAGGAAGGCTTATCTTCTTGGGCAAACATTTAGCCAAGATGTGAATGCAAAGAAATTGTTCTTGAAGGAAATTAAAAGTGCTACTCCGGTAAACAGATGAAAGATAAGAAAGCAAAACAGCCTAATTGTTGATATGGAGAAAGTCTTAGTGGTCTGAATAAAAAAAAAAAAAAATTAGAGCAGCCACAACATCCCCTTTAGCCAAAGCCTAATCCAGAGGAAGGCCCTAACTTTCTTCAATTCTCTGGAGGCCAAGAGAAGTGAGGAAGCTGCGGAAGAAAAGTTGGCAGCTAGCAAGTTTGGGTCATGAGGTTTAAATAAAAAGCCATTTCCAGAAAATAAAAGTGCAAGGTGAAACAGCAAGTGCTTTTGCAAAAGCTGTAGCAAGTTATCTGGAAGACCTATGATAACTCTTGAAGGTGGCTACACTCAGCAACAGATTTTTCAATGTAGATGAAATAGCCTTCTGTTGGAAAAAGACACCATCTAGGATTTTCATATCTAGAGGGAAGTCAAAGCCTGGCTTCAAAGCTTCAAAGGACAGGCTGACTCTCTTGTTAGGGGCTAATGCAGCTGGTGACTCTAAGTTGAAGCCAATGTTCATTTATCAATTCCAAAAATCCTAGAGCCCTAAAGAATTAGGTTAAATCTATTCTGCACATGCTCTATAAATGGAACAACAAAGCTAGGAGACAGCATATATGTTTACAACATGACTTAGTGACTATTTTAAGTCCACCGTTGAGAACTATTGCTCACAAAAAAAATTATTTTCAAAATATTACTGCTCGTTGCCAATGCACTCGGGTCATTCAAGTGCTCTGATGGAGATGTACAATCAAATTAGTGTCATTTTCGTGCCTGCTAACACAACATTCTGCAGCCCATGAATAAATAAGTAATTTTGACTTCCAAGTCATATTATTTAAGAAATACATTTCATAAGGCTAGGTGTCATAGATAGTGATTCTTCTGATGGATCTTGACAAAATAAACTGAAAACCCAGAAAGGATTCACCATTTTAGATGCCATTAAGAACATTCATGATGCATGGGAAGAAGTCAAAATATCAACATGAACAGGAGCTTGGAAGAAGTTGATTTCAACCCTCATGGATGACTTTGAGGGGTTTCTGACTTCAGTGGAGGGAGTAACTGCAGATGTGGTGGAAAGAGCAAGGGAACTAGAATGAGAAGTGGAGCCTGAAGATGGGACTGAATTGCTGAAATCTCAATGATCAAACTTGAACGGATGAGGGGTTGCTTCTTATGGATGAGCAAAGAAAGTGGTTTCTTGAGATGGAATCTACTCCTGGTGAAGAAACTGTGAAGATTACTGCAATGACAACAAAGGATTTAGAATATTATATAAACTTAGTTGATAAAACAGCAGCAGGGTTTGTGAGGACTGACTTCAATTTTGAAAGAAGTTTTACTGTGGGTAAAATGCTATCAAATAGCACTACAGAGAAATCATTTGTAAAAGGAAGAGTCAGTGGATGCAAAAAACTTCACTGTTGTCTTATTTTAAGAAATTGCCACCACAGCCTTCAGTAACGACCCCAGCCTTCAGTAACCACCATCATGATTGGTCAGCAGCCATCAACTTTGGGGTAATATCCTTCACTAGCAAAAAGATTACAACTCATAGTAAGCTCAGATGATGTTTAGCACATTTTAGCAATAAAGTATTTTTAATTAAGGTATGTGCATTGTTCTTTTAGACATAATGTTAGTGCACACTTAACAGACTACAGTATAGTATAAAGTAACTTCTATATGCACTAGGAAACGGAAAAATTTATTTGACTCACTTTCTCAAAATATTTGCCTTATTGTGGTGGTCTATAATGGAACCTGCCGTATCTCTGAGGGATGCCTATATGTTATATAAAATATGTAACTTAAGAGTGTAAGTTATAGGGTGCCTTGGTGGCTCAGTTGGTTAAGTGACTGTCTTTGGCTCAGGTCATGATCCTGGAGTCCCAGGATCGAGTCCCACATCGGGCTCCCTGCTCAGCAGGGACTCTGCTTCTCCCTCTGACCTTCCTTCCTCTCATGCTCTCTCTCTACCATTCTCTCTCTCTTTCAATAAATAAATAAAAATTTTTAAATAAAAAAAGAGTCTAAGTTATAATGTTCATTGAGCCAATCCTACCCTAAACAAAATATGGAACTGCATATTGATAAATGCAAATATCCAAAAATTTTTTTTGTTTTTTTCCCAATTTGTTTTAATTTTAGAGCTATAGCTTTAACTTGAATTAATACACTATTAACCATTTTAATTTTTATGAAGAGTATTATGTTCCATATAATACAAATCCTTGTATATGTTAAATCAGAATTCTAAATGAATTAGAAGTGCTAATAATACAACAGTAAATTCTTTCATGATATAAAGAAGTGGGGGGAATCGGAGGGGGAGACGAACCATGAGAGACTATGGACTCTGAGAAACAAAATGAGGGTTCTAGAGGGGAGGGGGTGGGGGGATGGGTTAGCCTGGTGATGGGTATTAAAGAGCACACGTTCTTCGTGGAGCACTGGGTGTTATGCACAAACAATGAATCATGGAACACTACATCCAAAAACTAATGATGTAATGTATGGTGATTAACATAACATAATAAAATTTAAAAAAATAATAAAAAAGAAAAAAAGGAATTACCTGTTTGTTAAATGTCGTTTTTATTAAGGTTAATATTTCATGTTTCCTTGATACTAGCCTCAAACTTTAGTCCTGAATGAGATTCCTATTTCAAGGTGAGATGCACAACATATTAACTGCTGTATAATATGTTATAACAGATGACTGCATGTCATGGGAATTCACTTTGCCTGAGGATTTTGGATATTTTATAGTTCTAACAGAGGTTATGATTACAAAGTAGAAAAGAGAAGAAGATAAAAGGAATCTAAGGACCACCACCAGTGACAAGAAGAATAAGGAAGGGTGTAAGAAGAGGAAACACATGGTTGTAGGAGGAGAGCAGGAGAGAGCAGAAGCCTGGCTATGCCTGACTAGCAAGTAGGAGACTTTGCCTTGTGTAGCTCCACTGTGAAAAGGCACAAAAGCTGTGACTATTTAGATCATGCATTGTCTTTCATCTCACATTAAAACAAAGTTCTTTTTCAGAATGTTCTATTTCTACTAATTCTACTTAGACATGAAGGTGAGATTAATGTGTCTTAGAAAAGAAATGAGAACTTAGTTAAGTCTCTAAAATAAAACAAACACAAATTACAAAGAAAATGGTCTTTCTAGCAATAAGATTTGTTTGTAAAGCAATAGAAATT